TGAAAATGAGAGAGCATCTCCATGCAGAGGGCAGCTCTGGCCTGCCCCAAAGCTCACATGCCTAGGGCAAGCTGTGCCCCAAGGAGAGCCAGGAGCCCCCCCCCCATCCCTGCCTGTGACTTTTACATGCTCCAGCCCTGAGGCAGTGCTACTGGACCCCTCACCTTAGCAAGCGGGGGGGGAAGAGGAGCAGGGTTGTGCTGGGCTCCCAACTGGGAGCTCTGGCTAGGGTACATAGCAGCTCTCTCCCTGCACTGCTGCTGGCAGGCTCTCGGGTAGAGGCCTGTAGGGCCCAAGGGCTGGGGTGGGCCATAATTAGCAGGAGAGACTTCCCTGCTCAGTGGAGGAGATGCAGGGTCTGGGATGGAGGCTGGCTGTAAAAGGGAGCTTATGGTAAGGGATTGGGGTGCAGAAGGCAGTTGTGGCCTGGGGCACTGGACTAGGGGGCAGGGGTTTGGGTAGTTACCAAGACTCATGAGGGAGTGGGAGCCAGGTCTGGGAAAGGGGTGCAGGAGCAGGTAGAGGGGTAGGGTACTAGAGGCAGGATCTGGGTAGGAGACTTACCTGCTTGACTCCCAGCCAGCAGCCTTAGAACCATAGAGCTGGAAGAGCCCTCAGGACGCATCAAGTCCAGCCCCCTGCTCCAGGCAGGACCAAGCCCAACTCAGTCATCCCAGCCAGGGCTTGGTCAAGCCAGGACTTAACCACCTCTAGGGATGGAGATTCCACCCCCTCCCTAGGGAACTGTTTTTCCCCAATATCCTACCTTCTTAGGCCCTGCCCTGGCCAGGATGAACCTACCAGGGCTGGTACAGGATGGGGAAGAGCAGGTGGTGAGAGTTTGGGGGAGTAGCTCAGGGCATGGGGGAGGGGGAGGAAGAGGAGACCAGGAGGTCTTTGAATAGCTACCAGCCTACAGGGGAGAGGCCTGGTGACAAGCAGCACCCATTAGCCAACACCCCTCAGCTGTTTAAACAGGGCCCCACAACAGCTGCTGCTCCGTGGTGGGTAGGGGCAGGCGGTCCCTGGGCCAGATCTGGCCTCAGGGGTCTGTGACTAGTCAAATGAAGCTGTCCTAGCCCCATGGGCTTTGAGCACAGGGCCCCTGGCCTGCAGGGATGTTGTTTAGCCTTGGCATTGCCTAGGGCTGCTTCCCCCGTGCTCTGGGGCTGGCCGAAGGGACCCCTCCTCCCTAGGGCAGGGAGAGCCCTGGCTTGGCATAGGGCCTTCCCACAGGGCCCTAGGTTAGTCCTTGCCCCTCCTTTGCAGACAGCTGTCTGAGTGCAGACACCAGGTGGTGGCTGCTGCTACCCCACCCGCAGGTGCACGGGCACTGTCTGCAAAGCCAGGCCGGTACTGAGCTCTCCAGCTAGCAGAGCCTCCACCGCAGCCTGGGGAAAGATGCTTCACCAAGCCAGCATGCGGCAGAGCCCCTGGTCCAAGCTCGGGGGCTAGGCCCTGCCTGTCTGCCCTGTTGCTGGAGCAGAACTGGCACTGCCCCCTTGCCAGGGTGGGAACCCTGCTCCCAGCTGCCGTGTAGACAGGCCCTGGCCCCCTCCGGCTTCCACCCCGCTGAGCCGGTGTCAGCCCCCAGGCAGAGAAGGAAGGAGGCGGAGGCAGCGTGCGTTTCAAGTGACTACACGAGGCTGTTTTATTGAGCAGCATTAGAGATGCAGACGAGGAGGAATAGTTGCAGGTCTAGAGAGTATTGATACCAGCTGGACTGTAGAGGAGTAACTGTCCGTCTATACAGGGGGGGCTGTTTGCACAGCCAGGCCAGCCGCTACATGGTCAGCTCCTGGGGGGAGAGCAGAGGGTGAGGGGGCGAGGGGAGCCCAAGATTTTCCCTTGGATCCCCACTGGAAGGGCCTTGTGTTCCAAGCCCCCCCCTTCTCAGCATTGGTCCAGCCAGGGCCCCCCTCAGGGAAGCATCCCCATTGGATTGCAGCTTGGTTTGACTCCCTCCCCTGTGCTCATCTCAAGGGCAGGGGCGTCAGGACTTCGGGGAACGCCCCAGGAGGGCCCAAGCACCTGTTCAGGCTTCGCCTTTTACTCCCCTCTTGGATACCTGCGCCCCTGCCTCAGTTTCCCCTGCTGAAGGGGGACGTGGCTTCCCCAGACGGGGACCAGTCGTGGGACTTACCATGATGGCGTTGACGATGTCGTTGTTGTTGTGCCGGAGCGCCCGCACGGCCTTGGGCCGCGACACGTTGGCCTGCGCCATCACCAGCTCGATATCCCTCACCTCCAGCCCCGTCTCATCCACCTGGGGAGGGGAGGCGGCAGTCAGAGCTGCTGGGAGTCCAGAGCCAGCCCAGGCCTTGCTCACAGCCTGGCAGGACCACACATGGCTCCCCAACCCAGCCCAGGTGTGCGGTGCAGCCAGGCCTCACCTCCTCCTCTTCCTCACTCTCCTCCTTGATAGCCAGGGCAGGGGCCGCCTCGGTGATCAACGGCGAGTGCTCCATCGGCACCTTGAACTTCTCCGCCGCCGCCTTGTGCACCTGCTGCGACAGGTCTTCGATCTGCGGGGACAGAGCCGTCAGGGGCTGGGCAGAGACCCCGCCCGAGGGAGCCCCCGCGGCAGCCTGCCAGCCGGGACGGGTAGGGGAGCCCGGCAGAAGGAGGAGTGCTCTGCCTGCCTCCAAGGACGGGTCACGGGGAGCCCTGGGCACCCCGAGCTCTCCCCTCCAGCCAGGGGGAGCACGCTGAGCCGGCTCCTTGGCCAGCCCCGCTAGGAGAGGAGAGCAGATCGGGGAGGGAGGGAAGCCAAGCGGTGCAGCAGGAAGACACCGGTGCCCAGGCTGGTCCGTGGGGAGGGAAGCCCCGTCCCAGAGTGGGGACAAGAACACAAGAATGACCGGGCTGGGTCAGACCAAAGGCCCATGCAGCCCAGTCTCCGGCCTGCCCTCAGCAGCAGATGCCAGGCGCCCCAAAGGATGAACAGGGAATCCAGTGATCCCCCCCCCCAGCCCCGTCGCCCGTTCCCAGCCTGACAGAGGCTGGAGACCCCTCCTTGGCCCAGCTGGCCCAAACCTCCATGACTCCATCCAGCTCGTGCCCCGTTCCAGGCCTGCTCTCCCCCTCTCGGCCTGGCACTAGCTGCGGAGGGGCCAGTTTTTCCTCCTCTGCTTCCTACAGCTCTTGGAGCTCAGCCCTGGCGCCCTGTGGGGCTGGGAGTCCAGAGAGCTGCCCTGCTGAGGCCGGGGCACGGCTGTGAGCGTGCCCTTGCCAGGTGCCCCCCGCGGCGGCTCTTTAGGGCTCCCGTTTACACCAGGCACTCTGCTCTGACCAGCAAGAGCAAGTGGGACTGCAGGCCCCACAGCGGCTCAGTCGCTCTCCCGAGGGTGCGACCAGCTCTGGGCTGTGGCGAGCCGCGCCAGGTGGAACAGCAGGGCACGGGCCGGGCAACGCCCCAGCGGGTCACCATCCTCCCAGCTCAGCCCAGCCTCACCTTGGCTTCCCCAAACACGATGTAGATGTCGGACGCCGGGCTCTTGAACACGTCCGGCTTGGTGATCACAAACAGGATGTTCTTGGACTTCCGGATGGTGATCCTGGTGACGCCGTGAATCTGCCGCAGACCCAGCTTGGACATGGCCTGCGGGGAGACAGGCCAGCACGTTACTGGCCACAGGCAGCACCAGCCGGGGCAGGGACACCGGCAGGGACACCAGGGCGAGGACACCGGGGCCCTGGCCCAGCCTGTGCACCATGACATCCTGCTCCTGGGGAAGTGGGGCCAGAGGGGACCCCGACAATTCCGGAGGGGACCCAGCAAAGCCCTGGCCCCAGGCCCTGGGCTGGCCTGTGCACCATGACATCCTGCTCCTGGGGAAGTGGGGCCAGAGGGGACCCCGACAATTCCGGAGGGGACCCAGCAAAGCCCTGGCCCCAGAGACCTGCAAACTGCCCACGACTGGCTCTGGAGACAGGCCCTGTGACGAGCGCTGACAGACTTACCCAGCTGCTAAAATCCCCCCTTGCCCCACCCAGCTGGAGGGAAACCCTGGTCCCCTCGCCCTCCAGCGCCTGGGGAGGTTTCGAGGTTCCCCATCTCTGCCCAGCCTTGCGGCTGTTGGGGAGGCAGCCTTCCCCTCTGCAGCTCCCGTCGTCTGCAATGGCCCTCCTGCTGCCCCGGCACAGCCCCATGGCCGGGGCGGGAGGGACCAGGAGTCGGGGCTCAGTCACAGGGTTGATCGCTCCTTGCTGAGCCGGCTCCGGAACCCTGCCCAGACTGCGCCAAGCCCAACTCACTGTGCCGGACACAGGGCTGGTCAGACCTTCCCCGCCCTTCCAGTCCCTGGCACAGTCGGCCCAGACACCCCACGTGCCGAAGACCGAGGCTGCCAGACCACCGGCCGAGGCCTCTCCCCGCAGCCGGGCTCCATGCCCCCGCAAGAGGGGCCGTCTCCAGCGGGCCGGTTCACCCTCTCGCCACTGACCTTCCTGGCTTTCTTCTCGCTCCGGCTCTGCTTGGCTTTGCTGATGGTTTCCTCCCCGGCGCCCAGCGAGTGGGTGAGCTGTGCCTGCAAGACACGGGCGCCACAGAGCAGCTCCCCCACCGCCCGGTGGAGAGGGGAGACCAGAGCCGGCCCTCCCGCCAGGGAAACGGGCAGAAGGTGTCCAAGCCGGAGTCTGTGCGAGGCCGGAGTGGGGGTGTCCAGCCCCAGGGGATCGAGTCCCGTGCAGAGGAGGGATCCCATTCTCCTGTCTCAGGGCGGGGAGGAATCCTCCCCCCCCCCA